TGAAAATAGTGGGGAGGGGTCTGTCCTCACTCAAGGTGTCCCATCCTGAACATGGTGATGAAGGAGGGTCTGTCCTCAGGGTGTCCCATCCTGAACATGATAAGGGGGGGTTCTCTCCTTACTCAAGGTGTCCCATCCTAAACCTGATGGGGGGGTCTGTCCTCACCCAGGGTGTCCCATCCTAAACCTGATGGGGAGGTCTGTCCTCACCCAGGGTGTCCCATCCTAAACCTGATGGGTGGGGGGTCTGTCCTCACCCAGGGTGTCCCATCCTAAACCTGATGGGTGGGGGGTCTGTCCTCACCCAGGGTGTCCCATCCTAAACCTGATGGGTGGGGGGTCTGTCCTCACCCAGGGTGTCCCATCCTAAACCTGATGGGTGGGGGGTCTGTCCTCACCCAGGGTGTCCCATCCTAAACCTGATGGGTGGGGGGTCTGTCCTCACCCAGGGTGTCCCATCCTAAACCTGATGGGTGGGGGGTCTGTCCTCACCCAGGGTGTCCCATCCTAAACCTGATGGGTGGGGGGTCTGTCCTCACCCAGGGTGTCCCATCCTAAACCTGATGGGTGGGGGGTCTGTCCTCACCCAGGGTGTCCCATCCTAAACCTGATGGGTGGGGGGTCTGTCCTCACCCAGGGTGTCCCATCCTAAACCTGATGGGTGGGGGGTCTGTCCTCACCCAGGGTGTCCCATCCTAAACCTGATGGGTGGGGGGTCTGTCCTCACCCAGGGTGTCCCATCCTAAACCTGATGGGTGGGGGGTCTGTCCTCACCCAGGGTGTCGAAGGGTGGAGAGAAGAGGTGAGCAGGGGGGAATGGGTGAGGGGTTGACCCCCCCAATGCCACCCACTCAGGCTTGGCACCCGTTGCCCAGAATCGTGGAATTGCTTGAGTTGGGAGGGAGCTCTAGGGATCATCTTCAGTCCAGACTCTCCCGCTGAAGTGGGGTCACCTGGAGCACGTCCCCCAGGGCTGCATCCAGGTGGGTTGGGGATGTCTCCAGAGGTGGAGACTCCACAGCCTCCCTGAGCAGCCTGTCCCAGGGCTCCATCACCCTCACAGTCAAGAAGTTTTTCTCCATATTTCAATGGAACTTCCCATATTCCAACTTGTACCCGTTGCCCCTCGTTCTGACGCTGGGGACTACGGAGAAGAGCCTGTCTCCATCTTCCTTGCACCCACCCTTTAGATCCTTGGACATGCTGATAAGGTCTCCCCTCAGCCTTCTCACCTCCAGGCTGAAGATTCCCAGCTCCTTCAGCCTTTCCTCCTGAGGGAGATACCCCCTCCCTCTCCCTCCATCCCATGAAATACCACACTCAGTGCAGAGCAGCCAGGGAACCGTGTACCGGGGAGGGCTGACCCTGCCTTTCCCTGGCAGGCCTGGAGACCCAGGGAAGAAGAAACACATCTGCCACATCCCAGAGTGTGGGAGGACCTTCCGCAAGACCTCCCTGCTGCGTGCCCACGTGAGGCTGCACACGGGGGAGAGACCCTTTGTCTGCAACTGGGTCTTCTGCGGGAAGCGCTTCACCCGCTCCGACGAGCTGCAGAGACACGCCAGGACACACACAGGTCTGAGCACTGCAGGGTGGGGGGGGCACACGGGTGGGCACCACAGGGCATGGGGGGGGCACGGGTTGGTACTTTAGGGGCATAGGTGGGCACCACAGGGCATGGGGGGGCAGGGAATGGGACTGCAGGGCA